AATAGTTTGTCCCAAAAAAATATTTATTATACAAAATGAGCAGTGTTGGATGTTGTCCTACTGCTTCAAACTCTAAATTGAAATTTGTATCCAGTTGTCTTTACCCTAGTTTGTATTGTTTTTCTATGTTTAAAAGAAAATATACGGTATGCACAAAAGAGGTGATGTGAAAAACAGCCTGTTTACTTACATGCAGCCTTAAACACAATGGGCCATGTATATCAGAACCTTCAATAATCATTGTTTTGGTTAATAGTAAATATGATTTACAATTAATGTTAATGTGCATACATTAATGTGCATTACATTTTTTTATCCTTAGTTCTTTGTTTTCAAGAAAATATTTTTTTAAATACTAAACTAGGCATAAGCAGATGCAAGCATATTGCCCCTGAAGCTCAACCTTGTATGTTATTAAAGTTAATTATGCCAAACAGGAGCACATTTAGATATATTTCAACTCTTAATCTGGGCTTGTGACACCAGGGAATCTGGTTGTCTTAAGGCTGATGTGGAAATGTAATTATAGAATGCTATGTTTCCACTAGGAATGGGGGCAAAGAAAAATACATCACTTTTATGATATTTTTTTCTTAGAAGTAGGAATAACTCCTGGTATTTCACTGTAAACATATCTGGGAGTAAACCTAAAACAAATAGCAATGGGCACAATTTTGATAAAGTATCTTCCACTTTCTGTATACTTACTGCTGAAAGTGCCTATGGAATCCCCCTTAAAATTCAGGCCCTTTAAGCTTCCTGAAGAAAAGATAGGGTGATTTGTTCATGCTCTAAATTAAATGAAGGTTTAATATGATTATTAAAAGTATGAGTATGCAAGAGGAATGTGTCTTTGATTCTATCCTGTCGATGTTCATGGAGTGCCACTCGTCCTCAGAATCTAACACCAATTTGGTGGATCTAAAAATAAAAATCGTATATTGTATATCAGTTGTGACACTATTTGCAAATCTTGAAATGTGGAACCAATAGGTCATTTAACCATTAGATTGACTTTGTTCCCTCCCTGCCTTCCTGCAAAACAAATACAATGGGTTTGTATATAATTGTTCTATTATTTTGATCAAAAAGTTTAATAAATTTTAAATGTTTACCTGAATTTATACTGTGTACTTTTAAACTTTTTCAATGTTTTTTTTGTTTCTAAATTTGCATTAAATGCCTTTGAAATATATATATTTAATATTCATTGTGCAGTATTGTGCTAGTTGATAGCAGGTAGCAGTCAAGAATAAGTTAATTTGATTCTTACTAGATCTGGTTCTCATTTGTATTTTGCATGGAAGAAATACAAAGGGTCTACTTTTTCCTCTTGTACTTTTGATTTTAAATCTTACTTTTAACATGTTTACATGTTTAACTGATTATGCATCTGAAATGTATTCCATCCTACCAAAGATCATTCATTTACAAGGTTGACATTGTTTGTTTCCTGTGTTAATTAGCAAATCAAAAATTCAGAGATGTTAATATTTTTCAATCTGAATGGCTCCATCAATTTCTTCTATAGATACCAGTATTTAAGGAGTTCAGTGGATGAAAATTAAGCATTTATTATTGTATTACAATCATCCCCATTTTCTTAAAGAAATGTCTTTTTTCACATTGTGCATAAAACTGAGCAGGTATTGCTGACTTTTCCATGTCTGATTAGATTAATTTTAACTATCTGGCTCTTCATTATTTATGGCACATTTTGTGCTCATGAGTATTCATAGCCTATGGAGGGAGAGCCCTGCTTCGTAATTGCTTCACCTCGTAAGTTTCAATTTATGTTCCCAGAAATTAAATAAGGAATTGGATACTCTATAAAGCAAAATACCATACTGTTACCATTAACTCCAGAATCACCTTTTCAATGAGATAAGTGGTATATATATTTAATAAATAAATACAAATAAAACTGTACAGGGCTATAGATGTTAAGAGTGAAAAATCGTGTACTCAGCTTACTAGAAAAAAATAAGGTAAAAGGCATCTGGTGAGAGATGCAATAAGCATCTTTGTTTCTTTAAAGCAGGGGTGTCAAACTGCCGGCCCACGGGCCAGATCCGTCACGCCAAAACCACGCCCACCCTTGCGGGCAACAGAAAAAAGTCACGATACGTCATGTCACATGATGTTGCAAGTTTGACACCCGTGCTTTAGAGGGTTTCATTACTGGCTGCAGCTAACTGTTGACTATTTTGACACTGGGCAAGTTCTTGTCAGGCAATCATGAGTTCACTAAAAAATTGCTCTAAAAATTCTAAATTGATATATTTGTTTGCTTATGTTTCAGCCCTTTATTTTCTAAGGGGGCACATCTCACTTCAATTTCCAAAGAGGGCATTTGAAAATAACCCCAGAATAACATTTATTTGTGTTTATCATACACTACCGCACTATGGAATTAAAAAGCAGCATACAAGTTTACTCACTCCCTTTATTGCTTTAGCACAGTAGCAGCAAAAAAATGGACATTTGACACACTATTTCACAGCTTACTGATTTGATAAAAAGCTGGAAAATAACCATTTTATATGCTCACCATTTATCTGACACGATAGCCAGTAGTGACATTGTCATACAAGTATTGTACACACTTTGACTCATTTTTAAAAAAGTGAAATCGGCAGTACAAATGTGATCACACAGTAGCTAATTGAAAAACAAGCAAGTTTTGAATACTTCAATATTGGCTAGCTTACTAGATCAAGACAAATCCCCAGATAGCTTCCAGTAAATGAAAATTAAAAGAACCAAGTTTCCCTCTTCAGATGACAGTATGTTTAATTTGCAATGACCAAGATAATGGTCTCTACTATGTCTGGGGAAAAAACTCCAACTGGTCTCTGAACCCATTAAGTCAACCCATCTACACAGCTGCTATCTATTTGAGCCTATGTGTCTTTTCCATTGAAGTAAATACATCTGTTCAAGACAAACCTTATAAAACCTGTTGTGCCTACACCTGTATAAATTATAGCAACTATATTAACAGTGAAATAAAGCCAGGTTAGTTGATCAAATAGCATTACTCCAAATGATGCAAGCTTGTGAAAGATATGTGGACTTCGCTTCTCAGAATTCTCCAGCCAGCCATGCTGATGCTGGCTGGGGCATTCTGGAAATTGTAGTACACACATTTGCCAAAGTTGAGAAATATTGCAATAGGATGATCTGGGGCACAGTATCAATTATTAATTCCAGTTCTAACTCCAGCATAAAATAAGTCACATGCCAAATAAAATCAAAATTAGTGTAAGAAAATTTTTCTACACTGATACTATAAAAATGCAACATAGGTAGAGACCAGGTGATCCTAAGTTACTCTTCCCAAACCACAGTAGTTCAGGTCCAGTTATATGAAATAAATGTATCCAATTACATTTCTAGTACTGTAAGTAGGTAGTCTTCGCAGGATTCCATGAAATATTTGAACCTTTCATGAAATCATGCCCCTTCCAGGCATCCTGTGCCCCTTCCCCCCTCCCTAGAGGAGCAAAACAAACTTTAATTAGAAGGTCCTTTAGCTGACATTGCATGATTGAAATCCCACTTTCCTAAGCCAGTGCATGTAAAAGGGTTGGGACTTTATTTTCATGGGTGCAGCTGCATCTTGATTTTTTAACTGATATTCTACCCCTTCCCACACTTTGCTACAGGAAGGTTTAAATTAAGCCCTCTGGAGAGCATAGCTATGGAAATACATAATCAATCCAGCCTTTTTGCAATGCTATGCATGCTGTAACCCAGAGGCTGCCTTCACATATAAAGCTAAGGCATATTTTTTTTACATGACACTTTATTGAACAAGTTGTATTGTTTGGTTTATACATCATGTTAAATCCTAAACAAATTCTCATCCTTTATTGTAACTGATGAACAATAAGACCTTTATACAAAAATAACAGAGGCTACAATGCATTGTTTTTGTTTACTTACAAGTAAATCTCAAGTCTTACTAGATTAGATGCCAGGCAGCTAAAATATATGAGAGGTCTTAAAACAGGGGTGTCAAACTTGCATCGTCACATGATGTGTTGCGACGTATCGCAACTTAATGGGGTGGGCGCGGTTTCGGCATGACGCATCTGGCCCACGGGCCAGGAGTTTGACACCCCTGCCTTAAAACAATGTCAGCTCAGTGCTGAGCTTGCAGCTTTAATTGTGGCCTGTGCTCATAGCTTTCAGCATAAGGATATCCTCTCTTAAAATATCATTTTCTTTTAGGGGTTATTGAAACATGTTGAGAATCTAGCATCAGCCCTGTATATTTAGTCCCCAACCTTTGTAGCCTGCAAGGAGTGGGGAAGCCTGGATGGCCCACGCCACCACTCATATTCTGCAAACCCTCCTTAAGAATAGAACATGGAAATCATGACATTTTTCCGACAAGGAACAAACCTTCCTTAACTTCTGCCAAATACTGTGGGTCAGCATGGAAAGAATGTGTGGATAACATCACAACTGTGCCTTGTCATTATACTCATTGTGTTTCCATTCTACATAGCAATGATCTGGCCTATTTGCATATCTAGAATAAAAACAGCAATGTGCAGGAGAGGAAAAGCCATAGTTTCTATTTCCAGCTCCTTGTGCATCTACAGCAGAAAGAAGGAAACCAACATGGAAAAGGTAGACAGCAAAGCAGCACCTGACAAATGGATATTTCTTCGGTAACTGCCATCATTCACCATGAGTAAATTCCTATGTATTCACATAGACCAGACCAGTGGTTAACAGCTGCAGCATTTGTGATTAAAAAGGCAGATCCAGCTACCCCACTATGACTCATTGGTGATGATTTAGGACATAAAGCAATGCCTTGCAAATCAGAGATGAGAGATTTCTGTTTATCAGCCAAGAGGGGAAAAGGTACTGGCTAATGTTATTTTCCCACAATGAACTTCTTGGAAGAAATTCCTCAGGGCTTTCCTTCTTAAAAGTTTTCTGACCACACAAATTTTGGCTGACTTTGAGAAAAATCAGATTATTTATTATTAAATCATTGTCCCAACAGCTGCATACAAACTTTCATTGGAAACATAAAGAAAAGATGCCATATTAAGACTTACACATACCAAAACACTCTACACTGATTCATGTTTACATTTCAAATCATGTCACTAATTCATTTCATCTCAAGTAGTAAAACTGTACTCTTAATAAATGTAAAGCCATTTGACTTTTGTTGACCGTGACTTTCTTTTTTTGAAATTACAGTTGTGTCTTTTTCACAACTAATCATTACGAGTCTTTTCACAACTACACAAAAACAAATTGTATATTAATTCCTTCCCCAATGTCAACAGTGAATTTTTTTTTCCTGCTACAGTGTTCGTTCTTGCAATAATAGCAACAAAGAAAAATCTTCAAGCAGGGATAATGAAATGTGGGCCATTGCACATGCTGAACAACATCTCCCAATATCCTTTGTTACTGGCCCAAAGTTGGAGCTTGCTGGAAGTTGTAGTTCTGGTTCCCCACTCCTGATCTAAGCTACACTATATTAAACCGTGCAAATAGGAATTTACATATAGAAGCAGTTGGGCAGTTGGGTTTTCTTCCTTTCTTTTTGCAAGAGGCCTTTACACAATAAAACATACATCGCCATATTATGATTATACATTTGGAAGTTTCTTCCGTTCTGTTCCACTACTTTATATGTCTGGATGAATTTTGTCATGATGTGCAAAAGAGATGAATTCATTTCTTTTTTACAAGGAGCTGCTGGAAGCTGTGATTGTCAACCGTTTTCCAATATAAATCCTGAAACACAAAAACAACCAGTAAGAATTCTGCTGAAGTTGAACTGGAGTTGCATTTTCAATCTCACCTCTTTTCTCAGCCTGATTGGTACAGTTATAGACACAAATCACTCAAAGATGGGCTAGATCGGTGTTTTTCAACTTTGGTAGCTTTAAGATGTGTGGACTTCAACTCTTAGAATTGTTCAGGCAGAATCCCCAGATTCTAGATTTTATTTTCAAATGTAATTTTTCAAAATCCTTCTTCACATATACTAGAAGCATAATACAAAAATTCATAGCAGTTCAGGTGATATAGGATCAATCACTTAGTGATTATTCAAAAGTATGACAGAGCTGCCCCCCCCCCAAAGGTATACATGACTCGGTTTCCAAGTTCTGATGGCTGCCTCCCCCCCTCCCCCCCGTAATCACATGATCGCATTTTGGATGCTTGACACCATGCCTGCATTTACAGCTATCTGCAGTGCCTCGTGGTCACATCACTGCAATTTATGGTTTTTGCCAGAAACCAGTATTTCTTTCGGTTTTCAGCAAAAAATATTCCCTTGGCTACAATGGATTTGCTTACCGACTGCCACATTTGCTTAACGACCACTGCATTTGTTACCAACTGTGATGTTTGTTTAACAATCGCAACAAAAAAAAAGATCATAAAATTGGGCATGGTCACATGGTGACCCACTTAGCGACCAGCATGACTTACAACTACAATTCCAAGTTCAATTATAGATGTAAGTCTAGGATTACCTGTACTGAAACATGTTTTCCACTGATTTCACATTCACTTCTATGCTCATTCCATAAACCTGTAGTTTAATTATGAACAAATGAATTAGATTGTTTCATAAACCTGTGAATTTGTGAGTAATAACCACTTTTGACCTGTTTGCAAAACTACAACATTGTATAACTTGGGGAAAAAATCCCAATGATTGGTCTTATAAACAGCAGCAGGCATACTTGTGAGGTTGTACAATGCAGCAAATGATGTGATTGATATCCGAGAGGAGTCACTAGGAAGACTCCAAGTGGATTCTCACCACACTTGAAGCTATAATGTAGTTAGGTTTTTAGGACTATGTGTACATATGGACTACATAAGCAAAATAGGGTACAAATAACCTGTCAGCTAAATATTTTCTGAACATTAACATTTGTAAAAGCAGGGTGTTTTTATTAAAAAAAATAAATAAACTAGAAGTCCATATGCTACAAAATTATAAGACCAATATGTGGTCTTCTCAGAAGCAGGCACCTGATGCCATTCAGATATTGAGGACGATTCCCAGCATCCTTCATCATTAACTTGGCTTCCTGTGGATGCTTGAAGTTGCATTTCAGCAACATCTGGATGACCACCAATGGCCTAAACTGGATTCCTCTCTTTCAGTGCACTCTGTAAATTATGAAATGTTAGTGACTGAGCTCCCAAACTACAACATATGTGAACCCAGCCTCAAGCTTTCCAGGATTCTGGGCAGAATTTTTTTCAATCCGACCTGGAGTGATCAGGGAGTGAACACCACACATTTTGCATCTAAGGAATGTGTTGTACTAGTGAACAGCGGTCTCTCCCTCTCTCTGATAGTATTATTAGGAGTCAAGGACACCTTGTTTTTTTTTAATATTTTATTAAGTTTACATAAATAAGGAAAAAATATATTAAGACCTAATTATGGTAAGGACACCTTGTTGATGCAGCCCATTAGAGTTCTGGCTGTCAGCGTAGATGAACTAAATGAATCCTTACCCTAATCCAATGGCAAGCAGATGGGAGAGCAGCAGAGAGGGTAAGAAAATCTTCAAGAATTCTGCAGAAAATATGCCCCCCTTCTTCATCACACTTGTGTTTCTCATGCTGAGTGTAGCTGTGCGCTTAGGGTGTTTAAAGAGAAATTCCCTGGTTTATGAGAAGACAAAAACATTTCATCCATAATTGTTTGTGATCACATTTATATATTTATAATAACGGAAATAAACAAATTGGCATGATTCATTATCAAGATCACTAACTTGGGGGGGATATTCTCAGGCCTACTCGACCAGTCCCACATCCAATCTGAATTTTTCTTCAGAAGCCGTTCAACTTCTTTCCTTCTTTCCAGAAAATCTTCTTCAGACTAAAAGAAAGATAGGTACAATCAAGTGACATGGGGTCCATTTTCAGAATAGAGGTATGGAAGTGGACAAGGGGACTTTGGATCCAGGGTAAGCAACCTCGCTATACCATTTGTTTGCTCCTTAAAGGTGTTGTGGCTTTTCCTGGAGTTTCATAGTAGTTATACAAGTCCAAGTACATAGGTTGAGTGGAGGAAGTATTAAAGAGGCACAATGTCTCAGGAGAGATGCTGCTTGAGAAGCCACAAATACATAATAGAGTGCCTATCCAACCATCTATCTATCCATCCATCTATCCATCCATATATCTATCTGTCCATCCATCCATCCATCTATCATCTATCTACCCTGCCCATTTCACACAGAGAGGGGCTGGGTGCTGTCTACTATCCCTCTGCACTGTCTCTCATCCATACAATGAGTTCACATTTTCTATCTGATGTTAACTCATCAGGAATTTGGAAGCCAGGTTTCACAATCAAACAATACTCTATTGGTCTATAATATCCAAATCAAGCCAAGCTAACTCAGCCAAGTCTGAGGTTGGATGAGGCTGGATCTTGACAAGAGAGATTCCCTGGTGTTTGAATAAGGTAAACTAATCACAACTGAGAAGCCACAAATAGAAAAAAAAATTCCAGCATGAAAGGTTCCTTGTTAAAGAGGGGGGAAAAAATGGCTTCCTACATGCTAGCTAACTGGATCTCTGATAGCAACAGAAATATTGCAGAGAAGCTCAAGAGTATCGAAAACAAATTTTACTGAGCCGGAGTTACATGCTTGGAACAATTAAAGCCCCAGCAGCTGCATTTTCCTTCAAGTAGCATTAGTGTTTAGATAGTTTCCAATATGACTGTGCCATTCATGCAGTGATTTTCCAAACTGTGTGCCAAAACTGAAATGGGTCTCCTAAAAAACTACAAAGAACATTTCCCAGCTATAAATGAGGCTCTGCAGAAAATACAATCTCCTCAGAAGATTGGATTTTATTCTCTTAAAGAAAAACACCATACACACGCACACAAAAATTCAGTCTTTGAGTGTCTTTATGAACTGATAAGACTTTACCTGAGAACTATTCTTTTCTCCGCTGGCACGACTCTCCACTTCTGAAGTTCTGTGAACATCCTGAGGTGTCTGGGAACGTGGTGGACTTTGGAGGGAAAAAAAGTGAGAATAACCAACCAAGAACAAGACTTACTGATTTTGTGTTTTATCAGGACCATGGAAAGCTAACTTCAAATCCCAGTAAAGTTCACAAAGCTACTTAGAATCTTGCAGTCTAGCCTGCCTCTTTATTGTGATAAGAAATAGGAAAAACGTATGTTATGCATTCTGAAGCACCTTGGTAAAAAAGGACAGAATGTTTTAAAAAAGAAGGGACATCTTCCTAAGGTAAATGGATAGCAATTCTGCTTTTGTGGAAAAGCAGTAATTCCTTCCCAAATGTTTTAGTGGATCCAACCTATGTTAAGGGAGTCTAAGTGAGCAAATGCCACAAGCTGTTTAGTACTTGTTTATTTCCTTCACAAACAAAGTCATCCAAAATGCAAAAAAAATAATTAGTATTTAATTGTTCCTGGAATCCCTCATAGTGTCAATAAAGAGTAGGTAGTTCCTAATGTCATCAGCACTAATAACTACATGGAAAAAGCTTAAATTTTCCCTTCACGATTATCAGCCCCATTACAAAATAATCCTGTTTTGATCTGAAATGCATTTTAATTTACATGTAACATATATATATATAAAGAGGCACTTAAGTTTAGTCTGGTCCAATTCTCTAATCCTGCATATCTCAATCTTTTCATGGCTGTGTTTGCAAAACACACTGAACCACAAACCAGCTAATCACCTTTAGGCCTAATGCAATGTGGAAATTCAATCCCTGTGGTTATTTTATGGTTCCAGGTGTTGAGCAATCCCACTGCACTCAATGAACTTAAGTAAACCATAGTTCAATTAACCATGGATAAGTATCATGTCCAATGCCAGATAAGTGATCAGGTACATCACCACTATGTAGTGATTATGTGATAAGCTATGCTTTTACTCACAAGCTTTGGAATGCAGAGGGTTGTTTATCTGTGCTTCCTCTGTCTGTTAATTAATTTAAAGCATTTTTATGTGACCAAAAAGGCACCCAAAATAACTCATGAATGACAGGCCCTGTCTTCAGGATTTAGATACTCCAGAGAAAGGAAGAAATGCAATCTATGATTAAGAAACACCGTACCAGTATTCTTACCACAATCAACTGGGATTTTAAAAAAAAAATCCAATAGCCTGAAGCAGTGTTTCTAAACCTCAGCAACTTTAAGATGCGTGGGCTTCAAATTCCAGAATTCCTCAGCCACCATGTTTGAAATTCACACATCTTACAGTTGCTGAGATTCCGAAACATTGGCCTAGGAAAATGTAGCTGGCTAGGTTTCAGGACAAAGTCAATGGATAAATATTTCAAAGACTACACCTTTAGCCAATGGTATAATGCTACTTCCCATCTTTCACCTTACTCTCTAAGTACTAAATGAGGATCCTGCCATAACTCTAGTCTCTCTAACCCAGGCCTGTCAAACTGCCAGTCCGTGGGCCGGATGCGTCATGCCGAAACCGCACCCACCCCATTGCCGGCAATGGGGAAAAAGTTGTGATACGTCACGCAACATTACGTGATGTCGCAAATTTGACATACCTGCTCTAACCTTTCAATCATTCACCAAGCAACATACAATGGATTGCAATCATCTTCTACTGAATCTTAGAACAATGAAAATATTATATGCCAATCAGCCTCCATCTCTTTCCCTCAGGTGACCAATGACAGATTATAAAGAATTATAATCCCTCAACATCCATTCTCCCAGCTATGGTCCCACTATCCCCATTCCTGATGATGGAGTACAGGTAAGTCTCATTCAGCAACCAAAATTGGTACCAGCAATTCAATCGTTAAATGAAAACCAGCCGCTAACATGACTACGTTTATGATCTTACTTCTATTTTCTTTTGTTTTGTGGAGCTGCAAAGGTCATAAATGTGAGGATTGGCCACAAAGTTTCATCACCGTCATTATTGAATGGTGGTTGTACAAGGTAGTCGCTAAACGAGAACTGCCTGTAACAAAACAAAACCCTAGCATTCTCCATACAAAACGGAAATAAAATTGCAAGGACGCCCATCCTGTTGGCATTTCCAACTACATGTATTTCTGTGTATCTGCCAAATAAATTTGAAAAGTTGCTATGATGGAGAGCTCTATTAAGGGAAATGGATTGTAAAGAAAAGTACAGGAAATCTCTAAAGGCTTCTTAACCATTGTATCATCCTTCTTCTGTTATAGTTAACATTCCCTAGCAGTTGTGAAGGCAAAATGGAACCATAAGGACAGTTTTGCAACTTGGCATTTCCCCCAATAATTATGGCCATAGTTACATGTTGCTGTGGGCTGGACTGGGAAGAAGGCAGATAAGTTCTAGCCAATTTGTACAGGAAGACAGACGTTCTAGGAACATAAGGCTGAATCTCTCTAATGGGGGAACAGATGCGAGTAAAAACTGGTAGGACCTCAGGAAAAGGAGCAAAACTAGAATTCCTATGAATGGAAAAACAGCCCACTCACAAGGCCTGCGAGGTACAACAATTCAAAGCACAGGTTTCCCCCAAAGCAGCTTTCCCAAGTTTTTCTCAAAAACCAACAACATCTCCAAGTTAATCAGGTCTGGAGCTGGTCCCAAAGTGGCATACAGCCCTAATCTAACATTTGCTTAGTTTCACTATGAAAGATCACTTTGTTCTCCCAAGCCATGCCTCTTGTTAGCTTTGGAATGTCTCATTTAATAGATGATTCCAGTTTTGTTTAAATAAAAAGCTGAACTGGGGAAAAAAATGGATCACACCATGCGGGCAAGATGACCTTGTCTCCAATCAGGAGAAAGTGCAGAAGATGCAAGGCCAGGGGACAATTGCATCATCCGGATGAGACTTGCAATATAACTATTTAGAACACTTTCACCCAGACAAGACAAAACAAAATTTAGGTTAGCCTTGCTTAAATTAGGCTCCACTGCTTTCAAGAATCTAAAGAGGCCAAGCGTAACATTCACCTTCCCCAGCCTGGTCCCTTTCCATTTTTTAGACTACAACTCCCATTATCCTTGATAACACCCATGGAGAAGCATTGCCTATGGCTGGTAAAAACAGAGTTGAAATATCTGAAAGTCAGCCAGAAGGCTCTTTTGTAGGTACAAGTAGTCCTCAACTTACAACAGTTCATTTAGTGACTGTTCAAAGTTACAAGGGCACTGAAAAAAGTGACTTATGATCGTTTTTCACACTCATGACATCCCCACAGTCACAGGACTAAAATTCAGATGCAGGGCAACTGCATCATAGCTCAATTGTGGTCGTTAGTCCAGGACTATCTGCACATTCAGCTGAAATAAAGAAGAAATGCATCGGAAGCAGCCTGTGCTGCCTTAATGTCAGAATACCTGTCGCAGTGTGAGCTCTCTCGCGAGCTACTTCTTCCAGACTCATGCTGGGCATCTAGAAGAATTTTCTCCATGTCACCATTATAAATAGAAACTGAAGCAGGAACTTGTTCCTGGTCGGCTGGCTGGCCACTGTTACCGTTCCCATTGCTGCTAAAGTGCAGTTCTACCCAGGAACCTGCTTGGCAAAAATTTAGAAAGAACAAAAACCACAAGGATTTATTAGGAAATCCAGCACTTAACATTTGTTGACATTCTACTTCACATCTGACTTCACGGTCTCCTTTGCTTGTATTTTTAGAAGGTACAAAGAATACCCAGCTTATTGCCTGTTAATAATAAAACCCTGTTGCAATGGCAATGGTGTTATGGTGTCCCCCCCACCCCCCGGCCTGCCAGCAGCCCATAAGCATTTTGTCTCTATCTTGTGACCTGCTGTATTGCTCAGGACAAAAGCTGTGCTTCTATATTTACTATACAAGCAATCTAATGGCTATATGGTATAAAAGGCTTTTTAAAAAGGTTTTTTAACCTGCTTGATTACTTTTATAAATAACTCAAAGGGGGTGAACATATCCAATGGTCTTTCCCTCTATTTTCCCCACAACAAAAACCCTGTGAGGTGAGTTGGGTTGAGAGTCACTGTCTGGTCCAAGGTCACTCAGCTGGCTTTCATGTGGGATTAGAACTCAGAATCTCCTGGTTTCTAGCCTGGTCCCTTAATCAGAAGATCAAACTATATAACCCTGCAGAATAAACAGGTGCTCATTTTAATGTACAGCAAGCTTATTTTCCAAGATGCAACCGTTCTAGTTTTTAATCTTTCAAGTTTACTTAAAATGTTTATGCATTTTAAAAGAAAACATGATGCAGTCCACAGATAAAAACTTGTAACAATAACATTATCACTGTGGGCAGTAATTAGCTATACCACTATAGCAGAAAAGATTGTAGGAAACAGGCCAGTCTTTAATTGCTGGAAACATAACCAACTGGAATCCACATGATTTAAATGAGAAGAAGCTAACTTTAGTGGAGTGACATCGTGCTAGAAAATAGGCTTTATGGAACTATAATGAAATGGCATAAGAGAACTGAATTACCAGAAAACATTCCTATATCCAAACGTCTGTCTTCCTTTTTTTTTTTTAATGGACAGCTTTCTGTCCCAACTGTGTATTTTATCATTCTGTTCATTGGCCTACTTTTATGGATTATAATTCTCAGGATACTGAGGAACAGAAGGCGAAAACAGGAAGTCAAACGGGCAGAAAGAAAGGAGAAGGGGCAATCTGTTGACAGGAAATAGACAATATGGAGCATCTTTGTTATCAGATCTTAAGATATAAATTGCATCCACCCCAACATATTCCATTTAATTACTTCAGAATGTTACCCCCCAAAAAATTCTTCCCTAGACCAACCGGAAAAATAAACAGTCTAAGCCTTGTGAAACATGCCCTCACAAAACTAAACTGACATTATAAAAAGCTATAGTAGCTCTTGCTCACAAGGCTTAGGCAAATAAAAGCTCTCCAGAACTTTGATCTGAATGTGGCAGGCTGCAAATTAACGAACAAATGCTTTTCACCGGCATAATTTCATTTTGAGAAAAGCCACAGTTGATGGATTTCTCTCCAGCCTATTTTGGGGAGTCTTATGAGGAATTAGCTAACAAAAACTGCAAGAGAGGAGAATGGAAGCCAAGTATATCCAGTTAACATGGAATAAGGAAATTGGAAAAGAGGATAACATATGCTCTTTGTATAAGAGCATTCATTAAAAAAGAGATAATCCTTAAAAGCCAGATTCATGCCTTATCTACTCTGTACACTGAAAAAACAAGGCTAAAAAGTAAAACTACATACTTCACAAAATATAAAATATGCAAAGTGGTGCAAAAAGTACTAGATTTTACATCTTATGTAAACTCTGTATGTATAATTAATTTAGTCTCCATTTAAGTTTTCTCTGGAGAATATACATTTGCTTCTATGGTCCTAACTGTCCAGTAGCAAAGATACATTTAAATTTCTTTTGGTGGCTGAGGAGTGGGAAGGAAGGGTATCTAGAGTGCATATATAGGGATGAGGTATCCTTCCTGTGAAATATATATGAACCAACCAACAAATCATACCTGTCTATTCAAAAGTTTCAACCAAATTCATTCAATTAGAAGGATTCCCAAGGAAGTATTTGTGTCAACTGAAAATAAGCAACATCAAATATTTGGAAAGATCAAGGAAATGTTTACTGAATTTCTCTCAGGTTGAACAAAATACTGACACTTCAAGAACAAGAAAAAATCAAAACAATAATTCTGTGCTCACTTTTCCTTTGGCACATTATGTGACCAAACCACAGGAGAAGATAACCTCTAATACTGTTTGATTACAAACATAATCTAAAAATGGGAAAAGTCCCTTTTATGTTGCAATCTACTTCCAAGTTTTTCTACATGGGACTATAAATCCCATGATGTCAGCTCTGAACCAGCATGATGTGTCAATAAGTTCCAAGGCCAATTATTTACAACCATAAAAGCTATTAGTAAACGGTTGAATCACATAGGCAAGGGTACTATAGCACAGCCAAGAGAACATAGCCACTAAGTTACAACCACAGATCTGCCTGTTTTCCCTTTCCAATAAACACAGGCTATTTTAAAGGCATTCTCCCTTGCTGGTTCTGAGCCTGCCAAGGTAAAAACCAACTCAATGCAAGAAAAAATCCGAAATAGAGAAAAATCTAGAGTTTCATAGCCCCAAGAAACAGAGGAAACCCTGAATAATGCAAAGGTAACCCCAGGCCATTTGGTATTTCCCCATCCTTTGTTTCTCCTGCCCTCAAGAAACATTCTAAGGGAATTCTAATTACTAGAGGGAATATTAATACAAGCAGCCCTTGACTTACAAGCACAATCGAGCCCAAAATTTCTGTTGCCAAGTGAGACATTTAAGTGAGTTTTGCCCCATTTTACGACCTTCCTTGCCCCAGTTGTTAAGTGAATCACTGTAGTTATTAAGTCAGTAACCCAATTGTTAAGTGAAACTGGCTTCCTCATTGACTTTGGTCGTCAAAACGTGATCCCATGACTTTGGAACCCAGCAACGGTCATAAGTATGAGCCAATTACCAAGCCTCTGAATTTGGGGATGCCTCAAAGGTCGTAAGTGTGAAAAAACGGTCATTAAGTCACTTTTGACAGCACCGTTGTAACTTTGAACCATCACTAAATGAACTGTTGTAAGTCGAGGACTACCTGTACTAATCACAGGCCGGGGGGGGGGGGCGGGCTTCAAAACAAGATGATCTAGGATGTCTATTTCTGATCAGCCCAGAAAAGTCTTAACTTAAGAGGCCCTTCTATTAGAGACCCATTATTTTAAAAAGTCCAAGTTTTCTTTTCTATTTTTTTTTTTTACAGTTTGCTTTGTTTTAAAGGAGGGAAGGTTCTCTTCTTACCCTGCAGATTCTCTTCTTGCAGCCCCGAGGGCTCGCTCGAGGCCATCGCTGCCAGGAAAGAGGCGCTTCTATTTCGGGCTCCCTCCTGAATTGCTTGCTGGGTTGCTCCTCTCCGACTCCGCTGACAGTAGCAAGCGCTACCGCCGGACGCGCTGTTTTCACGGCTCGCTCCGGTCAGGCCCCCCGCCCCGACCGCTCGACTCCGGGGAACGATCCCCGCCTGGTATTGTTATTGTTGTCGCCGCTGCAGGTTCTAGGGATTGTGACGTCAAAAAGGAACGGAACGCCCCGATTGGCTGCCGGAACCGATCTTCGGCACGCCCCCCTCTCCTCCCGCTTCGCTGAAGCCAACGGGAGCCGCTTTAGCGGCTGCGGAGGAGACGAGCGCCTGGGCCGCCGCGGTGATCAGCAGTTGCTCGGATCGATTGACCTACCCGATCGAGCCGCGATAAGGATCCAGGTCTCTAGAAAGCAGCGGGACTTTCCCCAGGGCGAGCCTGTTCCGACCCCGCGCCAAGTCATTTGGTTACTTGGTTGACTCAGGCTACGGGATCTAAACAAAGAAGCGCCGCCCGCTCTGCTTGCTTTCTGCGGATTGGCTGAAGCGGCTGGCAAAGCGGGTGGGATTGGTCGGTGGGCGTAGCGTAGCCGTTCTCGATTGGACGAAGGCTTTGAATCCCGCCTCGGCTCTGGTTAAACTTTAGGTGCGCTGAGGACTTCGTGTTCCAATCTTTACCCCGCGCGCTGTTGTTCTCGTGCTGTCCCCGCCAGAGTTGTTTATCCGTTTGGCTCCCAGGGAACATTAACTCTTTGGGAACCGGCGGTCCCACTTCCCCCTCGCGGAGGCGGTGATTGACAGGGAAAAGAAGCAGAGTTGGCCTGATCCGAGATCTTTTGCTGCGTGATGCCCCCTCCCGCCCTTAAGTATCAAAAATTGGGGTCGGCTCTAGTTGCCGATCGCAGTTATTTGCGGGTAGGGCGTACTGATGATTTCTTTGATGCCCAAGTAGAGATGGCTGCGTTTCTTAAGTCCTGCCGTTTTGGCTACTCAGCAAAATCCATTCATAAATGGATCGTCTTTCCAATCCTCTGCTAGACCCAGAAAATGGCTAGCCCCGTTTTCTTTTCCTGTGGCCTTTTTCCTTTCAATCGTGCATTTTCTCAGCGCTGCTACCTCTTTTAATTTCTACTCAGTCGGTTGATAGACAAGGGAAGTTGCGTCTGCCAGAGGTCTAAACCGATGGTTTGCATAGCGTTTTGAAATCAGTCCAAGGTGGCACATTGCTCACCACCAGACTAAAAGTAATTATACTAGAAGTGGGCCTCAGAATTGCAAGTAACTACAATAGCTCTGCAAAGAGATACAAAACAATTCAGATCCAGTAATTGGCAAAATCTGAAAGACATTCTGAGGTTTTCCGTTTCCTGGCAGTTACAATTCTGCAAAGTTGATAAAGCACATAGATTTTTTCCAGCCCTTCGAAGACCAAAGATAAGGGAATATAACTATTGTATTTGTGCTGGAGTTCATTAATCTCTTGGAAAAGCCACTCTGGATATGATTGTGTAGCAGCGCCTTCAGTTCTCTACAGCAGGGTTTTTCAACCTTTTCACCCATTGTACCACTTTTAGGATATGGTAACATCCGAGTACCACTAGTCACCTAGCAAGGTGTCAAAAACTTGATGACCCCAAAAAAAGGGGGGGAAGTGATAAAGTACAGGTAGTCCTTGACTTACAACAGTTTGCTTAGTGCCTGTTCAAAGTTACAATGGCACTGAAAAAAGTAGCCCCCCAAGCCACAGCCGAGCAAGACACCTGCCTGCCCCCCCGGTGGTGCTCTTCCTCCTGTCCGAGGTTTTCATTGTTGTGAGCAGCGGGGGTGGGGTGAGGGGGTGTTTGGTTTTTATTCCCCCCGTCTGCTGGGTGGTTGCAGCAGGTTTTGGTCACTTCACATGACCCTGGGACACTGTGACCATCATAAATATGAATCAGTTGCCAAGCATCTGAATGTAAATCACAAGACCCTGGAGATGCTGCAACATTCCAGCTGATCGGCACGTCTTCTGGGCTCAGCAGAAGCGCCAGGGTCAGTGCTACTTTCCAGCTGGAGCCCTGACAGCCTTGCAGCTCCAGCCGTCTCTTGCTCAGGCTTGTGCAGTGCTGCCACCTGTTCAGCTCATTCCCCTCCCCCGCTACTTTTCTAGGATGGCCGCGTACCACCTGTCAGGTGCCAATGTACCACAGGTGATACCCGTACCACTGGTTGAAAAGCCCTGCTCTACAGAACATGACAAAGTTAAGACTATTCCAATGCCGATTAAAAGGTTAGTGGTTATCAGCATTAAATTTTGTGATGTCCATCCTATTAGTTAGTCCGAATTCTGACATATAGGTCGTTAGTCCTCGTCTTAAAACAGTTCATTTAGTGACGGTTCAACGTTACAACAACACTGAAAAAAGTGACTTAGGGCCATCTTTCACACGACCATTGTAGAATTTCCATGGTCATGTGATTCAAATTTGGCCTCTTGGCAACTGATTCCTATTTATGACGATCTCAGTGTTCCGGGACCTTCTGACAAACAAAGTCAATGGGGAAGCCAGATTCACTACAGCTGCAGTGATTCACTTAACTGTGGCAAGAAAAGTTCTACCAGTGGTCCCCAACCTTTCTAGCTTGGCAGTCAGACCCAGCGGGGGGATGCACTTGGGTGGCAGACGCGCGCACACAAGCGCAGCTCCATTTGTGCAAGCATTGCACGTGCATGGAGGGTGCTTGCGCTCATGCGCAAAGCTCCACGTGCGCAAGTGCAGGACACTTGAGCTGAAGGCCCTTGTGCTCGTTTATGAAGCTCCACTTAAGCGGAGGGCGCTAGCGCATGAAGCTCCGTTCTCATGAGGAGCTTTGCACACGAGTGCAAGTGCCCTCTGCTTGCGCGCTTGCCCATCTCTCCCGTGGCCCAGTTTCGAACAGGGCACGATGCATAAGTGGGCCGTGACCCTGGGTTTGCAGACCCCTGGATTATACAATGGGTCAAAACTCACTTAACCAATGTCTCGCTTAGCAAGAGAAATTTGGGGCTCAATAGTGGTCATAAATTGAGGACTGCCTGTATGCTGAATGTCTATAGTGCAATTCAGCACTATGTATGTTTCAGAAGAAAGTCCTCAAAGTCTTGGAGCTTACCACATAACTATAACATGGGTATAATTGAATAATGAGGATTTCTCCTGTGATTATGATGTTCCTATGATCTCAGCCAATAAACTACAACTGCACTCGGTGTTATTAAATGAAAATAAAGAACATACAGAGAACAGCTAGACTCCATAACTAGCTTTTTCCTATGTGTGGGTGCATTGCAGCAACCTGTATGTTGAGAAATAGTTCAAAACATCTGAAATTCATACAAGAACAGATGTGTATCAGAAAGTCAGATTTGTCACCCATCAGCATGGCACAGCGGCTCCCAACCTTTTGTATACCCTGCCCACCTAGAACGCTTCTAATATATTCTCGCACCCCTTACGAAAGTTTGAAATAACGACAACAAATTATGCATATACACTATAATTTTGAAAACCCAACTTTTCGCACCCCCTGGAATATCGTCTCGCACCCCTGGTTGGGAACCCCTGGCATAGCATAAAGATTAGTGTATTTTCACTGCAGAAATACAGCGTTAGCTTAACACTACAAGACTAACTATATCCTATGGTAAACCCCATGCCATAACACTGCCTAGCATGTTGGGGTTTTGTACTTCTATTTTTTCACACTTTAGCTGAATTTTAAGAAAGCTCTTCCCCTGCAAAAACAAAAAAACCTCACACTCATTGATGGACCACATATAAACATAATCAGCTGCAGGAATGAAGCTTTCTGTCAGTTGTTAGCACAGAAGAGTGAGTCAGAGACCCAACTCTGTAGCCTTGAAGATTTCCCAATGGCCTGTTTAAATCAGCTGCACAAACAACCAAGAAGGAAATTGGCCAATCTTTTCAGAACTGGTGGGGATAGCTGGAGGCTAAAATAGTCTCTGTTTATGCGGGGGACATCTGCACATCACTTATACAAAGTAGGGCAATGCTATTTTGATGTTAGCAGCCATTCTGAATGTCAGGATGTCCTGGAAGAGTAACCAGACTGACAATAACAGGAATGAATGCCACTAGTAAAAGCTATTCCACAACATGTAAGATTGAATGTAATTGTTGGGCGTTATGAGGTGGCTTGAACAAACATAAATAAAGAGCTTTGGCTATCATTCTTTGTTGAAGTTCAGTCATGATGGAAGGGAGTGGTTTGAATCTTCTCTTCACATAGAAGATGAAGAGGTGAAGGGATCTGCCTTGACAAAGAGCCTTGATTCTTGTAAACTGGATCAGAATATTTTAAATATTCACAATGTACATATATGCTCAGAAGTCTGTTACAAGAGAGGAAGAGAGAAGTGTGACACAAAGCCCGAAGCTGCTTCAAGAGACAGTTTAACTCCAGATTTGATCAAAGCCACATGGCTCCATGTTAACTAAAAATCACTGTAACATGCTGACAACTTCCTACATTCCTAAAGCACAGAATGAATTTATTCCATCAAAAAAGAGTAATAAGCTTCCAGAGCAATTTAATGAAACATGCAAATTTAAAAAAATGCTTTTTGATATGGGCGTTTTGTTTGTATGCATAGACAGTATGTGTAGGATCTCAACTAGGAGTTTAGTACAATATGATTGCTACATTCCAATTGTATTTCTGCTTCCAGGACAAGGATCTATGGTTATAGCCTGCCAGTGTTATTGAATTGTGGTCTCAGCACATCTTGGCTTTAGTTTGCTGACAATATAATTCAGCAACATTTTATAAGCCACAAATTCATCACCCCCCACCCCTTTCTAAGCAAGGAAGGGCTTATAGATCTCTATAGGAAAATGTTAGAAAGAACAGAGCTTGGAAAAAACTAGAAAAGGAGAGAATTGCAATTTTAATTATCTTAAATGAAGAAATAACAACTCCTTTGCCAGTAACTGCAGCTGAAGTATTGTTGACATCATTATATATGGTATATATAATGAAATGGTACCTACATATAAGCATTAGCATGGTGTGTGCATGCATTTGTGTGTATATGTAAATGATATAGGTGGTCTTTGACGTAAACCATTTAGTGACCGAAGTTACAACAGTACTGAGAAAAAGGGACTTGTGACCAGTTTCACATGTACAACAACCGTTGCGGTACCCCCATGGCATGTATTTATGACAACTTCGGTTCCCGGGGTCATGTGATCACCATTTGTAACCTTCCCAGCCAGCTTCCAACAAAGTGAATGGGGGGAACCAGATTC